TACCATTATATCGGCACTGTAGTTCAGTTCTCTGCTTAAGAAAGCAATTACTTCAAGAGCTCAGTACCATTTTTCTTCCACCTAGGCAAATTGTTGATTCTTACTTCTGTGAAAGGATTTTGTGGTTTTGCATAGACACTTTTGTTGTTTTTGCCACCTACGCTCGTTATCATCCACAAGTTGCCGCTTTTTAGTCTTATAAATGTGTCTTTTATTCTTTTTAAACTTTTAGTAAAGAGCCTGATCCAAATAAAAACATCCTTTTTAAATTTAAAAAAAAGACTTTTTAAAAATCAAAAATGAAAAACATTCGTTAAAATTCCTCAGCTGAAGAATTTTCAAAGCTTTTCGAAATGTCACTGCCTCCCGGCGATAATCATTATCACATTACATTTGCTTCCGTTGTCATCGTTGCTATTATCACTTTATACGTGTTCCTACATAAGGCACCGGTTTTTATTTAGAATTTTGATCAAGCGATGTTTTATGCGGGGATGTGCAAAATCGCAATTCCTGCTGTACCCGTCTTTTTGCCTCTTGTTTATTGTTTGAGTTCAGTGTTTTTTAGAAGTTCGTCCCTCGTTTGATGTTCCCTCTTCATTCAGCGTTCTTGTTTACCTGAGGGCAAATTGATAAAGTTTGTTTCGTCCAGAAACCTCGTTTTCGCAGTAGAGCTATGTTACACGCAGTCTAACTCGCTAAATGTGCTTCCGATGGAATGATGGGGCTATGGACCGGGTGTGTGTAAGTCAAAAAATATAGGCGCTGTTTCGTGGTGGTTTGGTCGGAGCATGCTTTTGAGGCTTCTCTCATCCCGGGGGTTTTTTCAGGTGGTTGAATCGGCATGGGGTTTGGGTGGAGGGTGCTTGGGCTGGCAACGTTGTTCGTGCGTGCGGCTTCTGCGGTCCCGGTCGCCGAAACCAACATCTCTATCAACAACAGTTTTGCGGTAGAGAGGTATGCTTTTCACTTGTTTCATCAGGCGAGGTTCTGTTGCGGTTTGGGCGACCATTTGCCCAGTTGCATTGCGCAGCTGCGCTCTGGCCGTATTGTGAGAGTGTCTTGATGGAAGAGATTGCGGTTGAGGATTCCCCAACAATTTGATCTGAAGATTAACCGGGGCATTGCGAAGGAGTGTTTGCTTCAATGAGAGTATTGTAATTGCGGGGCAGGAATACATCTTATTTTTGATCGAAACATTCCAAGTCCGAGCTCCTCTTTACGCATTTTTTGCATCTATGCAGTGCAGGGAGCGCATTTGAGGTTGGATGAAAATTTTGTTGAAAAGTGTAGGAAAGGATGATAGAAAAAAAAAGAGGGGAAGATGTAAAAAAGAAGTAGTATTAAATTAGGTAAGAAATGTTTCGGTCCATTAAGT